CTTCCCTGCTTAGGCAGGGGGTCGGACTCAATGATCTGCTGAGGTCCCTTCCGACCCTGGAAAGCTATGAAAAAGCTGATGCACAAATGATCCACCTCAAGATGTTCAGGGTAAGTGTTTCCTGAGTATTTAAACAAGACTGAAACTCCTTGTGAAAGGAGACGTGGGCACGGCGTGGAAGAGGTGGTGGCAAACTTGGAGAGCACTGACCTGTCTGTGAAGCTGGGCTGCAGTGCCTTGTGTCTATGGGTTTCCTAGCTTACTGGCATGGGGCTTGTGATAGATTTCCAAATGCCGCCTTCATTTTCCTGCTCCGGGCCCGGCCAGTTAGCCGCGCGGACTGCAACTTTGGTCTGGTCTCGGTGCTTCCTCTTGCACGGCTTGATCCGAAGCCTGCTGAACCCGATGGGATCCATTTCATTGACTTCACTGGGTTTTGCATCAGCCTGCTGGACCAGAAAATGCAAAAGTGGGCAGAAATGATAAGTTAGCATTTCTCCTGAGAAACAAACATCCCAAACCTCACAAGTTTATTCAGGGCCGGGGCTGAGCCTCGTATTGTCGCATGTTGTAGTACCACGATGCTCTTAACGCAGAGCCCCTCGAAACGCCTGTCTGCAAACAAGTCTGCACATTTCCCGTAACAAAACAAATATACAATCTTCCCAGACTGCCTACGACTTTCTATTACTGTTTCACAGTACTCTGGAGAGTTTTAAGATAGCAGCTTGATTAAGCTTATGGGGAAAATACTATCAGATAGCATTCTTCGCCACAGATAGAGATAATGTACTGTAGTATTAAGTATGTTTAAGGGTAATTATCTCTCCCATATTCATTTTAGTTACATGAACAAAAAGGGAAGGGTGCGGGGGGAGACTTGGCAGGTGCAGGGTAGAGAAATGCGGATGGCTATGGCAGTCGCACACATGTTAGCTAACTTACAATGGCAAGCTGGGTTTGGGAGGCTGATTTTGGCTCCCTTTCCACTTCACTGGCGTCCTTCCTGATGTGCACAGGTGAGAGAGGAACCTGCAGCCCCCGGGGTCTATGGGCCGAGCCCTTTGGCACGAGGTTGTTGTGGCAGGGACTTGCTTGGTATGAAAGATGCCTCATTTCAGCTTGTCCTCCATTAACCACAGGCTGATCCAATTAGGATCGGACGTCCCCATTTCGCTGTTTCAATCATCATTACAACCGTGCCGGCTGCTCCCGTAAAAACCAGTTCCATCCGAGGCGGCGCTTGCAGGCTCCGGCATCCGTTGCCTGGCTGTGCGAGGCATCGGTGTGTCTCCCTCGTAATCGCTCCCATTTCGGATGTAAATATGGGCAAGGGAACAATAAGCGCTTTTGTTTTTCATTAAGAGCAGAAGTTTTCCTGAGCGCGGGAGCCAGGTGCACCGTGGGCCGGATTCCTTCCCCTGATCGGACGCGCCGGTTAGGCCCCCGCGTGCCACGTCAGTGGGCCTGGAGCTCTCTCCCGCTTCGGGGCAAGGTCTAGGACAGGGTGCAAAGACCTTTTCCTGTTGATCTCTGGGCTGGGAGGCTGTCACCTTCCTGGCTGGAGGAAGGAGCCCAGATGCCTGCCGTAAGCGGATGCAGGGGAGCTGAGCTGAGCCAGCTGTGGAGAGTTCATTCATTCCCCCGCTCATCAAAGGGGCACTGCCAAATCCTGCAGTATGAGCAGGAGGATGGGGAAGCACTCCCCTTGGCTTGAGGCTGGCTGAGTCCCCTTGTACATAGGTCTTGGACAGTGAAATGTTCCTTTTCCCTATGGCCTGGCTGGGCATTTTTTGATGATTTGTTTGCTCGCCCCATCAGAGGAGGTGAAGTCCACCTGGGGCGTGCAATGTCTTCCCTGCTTCTGCTGTAATCCTTTGGAAAGCATCAGCCTCCAAAATTGCCCCTTCTAGTCAAGAAACACTATTACACGGCCTTCCAGCCCTCGCCCAGGCACGTGACTCAGACTCTCCCCACTGTGGGACCCCTGACTCAAGCTGGGGCTCTTGGCACGTTCATCCCGTGCTCCCCAAAGTGCAAGGCTTCAGGCTCAGGTGTGTCCCCAAGGGCTCCCCATTGGCCGAGCAGCTTCTCGGGCCCAATTTGGTTTCAACATTTTCCACCCATTATCCCCCCCACAATATTTTCTCTTCTGTGGGAAACTTCCAACTTTCTCCTTTTTATTCCAAACTGAATGATCTTCAACCTCCTCTCCTCCCCCCCCCAACCCTTTATTTTTTGTCTTCAGAGGGGAGGAGGTTCAGACTTTCCCACAAAGCAGAAACCCCCATGTTTTGACCAACTCTAGTCAATAGTATTTTAAAGATGGGGAAACTGAGGCCTGGGGAGATGAAGTGACTTGTCCCAGGTCACAGCAATTGAGGTGTCACATTTGGTGCTTCAAAGACCTGCCCTTGAACAGGTGCTGGCAGAGCTGAGCTGCAACAGCTGGATGGTTGTGTGTCACCGCAGTGTTGCATTGGGATGAACTCTGCACCATTTAGGGCTTAAACACCCACTATTGTCAGCTCGTAGGCATCCGCTGCAAGGAATAGACTATCCTCAGATTTGTTCCTCCCCATGAACAAGCTCGCGCTGCAAACTGCAGGGATGTCCCGCTCGGGGGGAATGGCAGAGTTGAGCTGCGTTGTTATGCAAGCCCCAGTTGTACAGCAACCATTTTTAATGCATGTGTCATTGTTCCTTAGCTCTTATAGTAATAATAATACTGCTAATAACACTGTTGTTGTTATTTCTATTTGTCTCCATTGCTAATTAACTGCTGGCATAAGAAGACTAATGAGAAAGGTGAAGTAGTGACCTCGTTAGCTCAGTTCAGGAATAAACAAAAACCAAGGCAGATTTCTCAGCAAGTGTGACAAACTTGTTCCTCTCCTTCCTTTTCATACCAGGGGAAACTATCCAGAGCGCCGTTGCCAACTCTTGCAAAATTTGGCAAGTCTAGTCATTTTTGGCGTCTTCCTTAAAAGTCCTTCAGCCCAGTGTTATGTGAATATACCCCAGAGGATCCAAAGAAAAGCTGGAAAACATGATCCCTAAACGTGCAAAAGCCATCAAACAAATTTGAAAAGGTCTCTAAACCTCTTGGCTGTTCTATAATTTAAGGGGGTGGGGAGAGGATTAAGACAAATCATATGATATTTAGAGGCCTGGCCTCCTCCCTCCCACCCGCCCACTTATATGGGCAATACTAAAAATATTGTTGTCCTGCCATTTCAGTTTCTGGCACTTCCACGTGCACCTCCGAGTACCATGTCTGCAGGGTGGACGCCTGCGTGTTTGGATTCTGATGCGACGATGTGGGTTTTTAAACACTGGTCATCGCTGGGGAGAAAAATGGCTTCTGGTTCTCCAAGCCAGGACTTGGAGTGAATTGTAATCTCTAGCATAAGACTCTTATCTGGTGAGATGCTGCTATTGTGAAGAAGCTATCTCCCGTGGAGGTGCAAAGGGCATCTCTCCTGGTTTAAATGTCCATATTGCCCAGAAGCTGCAGCAGGGCTTGTTTACCAGGTTACAGAAAGAAACACGTTGAATTTGACACAGAGCGAGCTGCTGAAAGATGCTCGCTTACCTCCTGGGGTTTGTTCTGTTCCAGCGACACGGGCACCGCGGAAAGGAAGAACCACCAGTTGTGCTGTTTGCTTCTGTGGCTTCTTGGGAGGGGAAAAGAAATAGGTGGTTGTGACTCTCTTGGGGTTTGTACACGTGGGCCTCAGCTTGGGAGCAGGTGGTTGCTGCCTTTTATCATCTTGCCTCTTAGTTCGACTTCCCCCTCCCACAAAATACACGGCAAACCCAACGAAAATGCTGACTGAGCAGAGTCAGCAGAGCATCCCGGGCCCGAGCATTTTGGTGCCAGACCTACCATTTGCTTTTCGGTTCATGCGTCTGTGCAGCTTTTGCAGTGCACCAGGTCACCTCCATTTCCTTTCGTTCCGTTTACCAAATGGCGGTGTTGGTGGTTTTCGCCGTTTGTGCTTTTTAATGAAATTTCTGGTTGCAGGTGTGAAATAACTTGGGGCCTTTGGTGAAATGCTCACGCTCTTTCGCTGGAGATGAGCATCATTTGCTCATAACAAAACTTTTTTGCAAACCCTAGAAGTTACCAAACCCATCTAGCCTACTGTTTCTGCTACCCTGCTTCTTGTGAGTTTGTTAGACCATGTACCCGGTAATCTAACACCACCCCTCTGGCAACTGCCACAGTTGCTTTGATTGGGAATATGATCTCATTTGATGCTATTGAGTTGAATTTAAAAAAATAACTACTTTCCTAGGTTCTGCTAACATCAATTAAAAATATAGTCCATAGCACTAAAAGCAGGTAGCAAATGCTACTTCCCTCCGTAGGACAGAACAGTTAGCATGCAAAATGAACCGGTACCAGAGTGGTCTGTTATACAGTGTTCATCCTTTAAAACCGCAGTCTAGTTTCACCAACCTCCAGGATCGTGCCATCAAAACTCAGCCCATAAGTGTGGACATGGGTATGGTGTCAAACCCCAACGTCACGTCCATGCCGTGGTCTGCAACCTCCCGGAGATCTCCCTGGTTTCACGTGGAAGCTGTTATAGTCTGGCCTAGTTGGGAAGTCTCTCTCTCTCTACATAGACTGTGTGTAGTCCCCGAGTGCCTTTGTTATCGTTGTTGCACAAGCAACAAAAAGGCAAGTTCACTTGTATCGCTCCCCGTGTGCAAATGCCTTTCACCAGTTGGAGCTGCAGCCTGGGATTGGATTCCAGTGGTTGGGCACCAGTACGGTAGCTAGCGACATAACGAGTGGCCGGGAGGCAGTAAGAGCCTTTTTTGTGCCAAGTTTATCTGTTGAAAGGACTGGAAACAGCACAGATGAGAGAGATATGAAAGCAGGCTCATTTTAAGCAGAGAATAACTGCACTCCTGTTCCCCCCCCCAACCACCCTCCGCAGCCTGAGCTCTCTTCATACATAAACTGACATCTTCAAAGGGATGCTTTTGTTTTTTTTCTTTTTGCGAAACGTTTATTTCTATAAAAACAATGAGGGTGACAGCTAAACTTCCCATCGGAAGCCTTCTTAATTTAGGAGCATAATTCACAATGACAGTTTAACAAACGGGCAGCTTTTAGAGATCAAACTGAGCATAGGGCAGCACCTCCTTTCATGATGCTTGCTTTCTAACCCCCGGACCGATGAGCAACTTTGCAAGGCTGTTACCCGGGCACCTTGTGTGAAGACAGCCCAACCACAGAGAATCCCTATTGCAAGAGCACTCCAGTGTGTCAGAAATGCAAGCCCGTTTCAGGTGCGTTGAGGCAGAGTCAGTGAAAAAACCAGGAGCTTAATTCTGTATTTTGGCTGGCTTTTTGTTCCTCGTCCCTGGCCCCAGTGGGCACTCTGCATATGGATGTTCAGCACTTTTGAAATCGGGCCACTTACAGAGGAGCCTAAATATGGAATTATGAGCTTAAATTTAAATCTTGGCCCTGCCGTACTCAGAGCGGTCTAAAAACTAGCGTGGCATAAGCCGGGCCTCTCGTAACCGAATCTTCACAATGTACTTGAAGCGGTGCCATCCAAGTGCTTACAGAAGAACAGAAAGTACCAAAGCTGGTGTCTCTTGAAAGGATCCTTCCCTAATCACAACCTTATGACTTGCAGCTGAATGTTTTGCTGTGTGTTTTGGCTCGCTGCTAAAAACAAAAATGCCCATCGGTCTCTCCATGCAAGCAAGGCTCGCATCTCCCAAAGCTGTTCCCAGAGAGCAAAAATGTAGATGAAGCTTTCCATACTGCCTGCCTCGTCTCGGCGCTGTAGAGCCAAAGGATTTGTGTGTGTGTTTATAGCAAAGCCCGTCTGATAGAGGGACGTTTAGGTACGGGCTTTCTTTCAGATTCTTTCTGCTCCAGGATTAATGTTTGTGAAGCACTTGCAGGGCTAAAAGAGCTTATTATAGTTTTGTTTTATTGACTTGCTTCCACAGAGACGCGTTCAGGGGGATTCTGGGCTGGACTGTTTGCATTGCTGTAATACCTGGAGAGCCCGGCTGTGACGGGGGGGCCCTTCCTGCCAGACAGGGCATCATTCTCTGCCCCAAAGAGCTTACAGTGACAGGGAGCTGGCTTATTTCGGAGCCATCTCAGGTTGTATTGAACTGCCCCTGGAGAAAACAAAGACGCCTAAAGTCTGGCAGAGGCTCAGTCAGCTATGCAAGAAGAAATACGGGAGCACAGCAGCATCCAAGCCAGATGTTGACAGAGGCAGGGAGAGAATTGGGAGGCTGGTGCTGTGCGAGGGGTCAGCGTTTCTCCCCGTCTTAGCTCTGTGCCTTCCGGAGAGTGATATGAAGAAGCTGGGGAGCAGCATTGTCGCGAGGCAGGGACCCTGCCAGCGGCGTTGCAGCGAAGCTGCTGACAACATTTCTCAGGACTGGGCTCCAGGCTGCTCAGACGACTTCTGCTCCGGGTTGCCTTCAGCTCTTTACAGCCTGCAGCAAGTTGAGGGTGGGCATTTGTTCGCAGCTCAAGGCTGGTTTGACTTTTAAGCACGCATTTCTCAAGGGGGCATTGGGCATCAGAAGTATTTCAAAGGATTGAGGAGGAGGAAATAGGTGGTTTCAGGCATGCTCTGTGTAACCTGAAGTTGTCTGTTCTGCAAGGAGGCAGGCATTTGTTACCTGACTTGAACCCCCGTCCTGGGGGTTGAGCTGCACCGTGCATCTAATAATAAAATGTTAGCAACTTGCCCGTGTTTCAGTGTTGCTCTCGCGCTCCCAGGGCTTCTGGAATCTGGTTCTCGTGCTGAACGCAGCAGCGTGAGAGATCATGACTTGATGTTTTCAATATGATGCATTTACTTCAATAACGGCTTTTGGTGTTTGGGGGCAGGCTGGGAGGCTGCGTCTGCTCTGGCAGTTCTGTAAAAGCCTTGAACCGACCATCAGAGGTTGTACGTGTAGCTGGAGTTGCCTTCTGCGACACACGTGCTGGCTGAAATACCCGTACAAGACAGTGCTATGACTTGTGGTGCATGGGAGCTGCCCTACGCACCGAAAGCAGGGAAGGAAGGGTTAAGCTTCAAAGCACTGCACTGTCTTATCCCACCAAGGTCATCAGGAGTCGCGTGTCTACACCGTGCCCACGCTTGAAATATTTGCCCCCTGGTCTTTCACTTTGCTCCTCGGCTCTCCGTGGCACCCAGTGGCATCTGCAGAAGGGTGACCTGGGGCTGTGGGTGAGCAGCGCAGGGTCTCCGGGTAACCGGGAGGGGAGATTTGGGAGCTGACGCCCTTTTCCATCCGCTCTAAATTTGCAGGTGCCCAAAAGTGGCCCGGTTCGCGCTGCACATCGCGTGCTGCACTCGCGCCGGGGTGAGTTAAGGTTGGCATTTTCTCCCTTAGCTGAGAACCTCTTGCGTCTTTTGGTTCTTGGATATCTAACGCTGAGCTGCTTTGACTGACAGTAATGTTCTGTGACAGCGCTTGAAATCCGACTCCGACCGTGCATTCCTAAAACTGGGAATCTCGCTGGCTTTTAAAACATGAGGTTTACTTTGAAAAAAATAAAATAAAATAAAAAGAAGAAAACTCCAGTAAGTTTGAAAGCAAGTCTGCCTTCTGCAAAGATCAAGTTATTAGGACGTGTAGCAAGAAGGCGGCCCATAGGCTTGCACATGTTTATCTAAAAATAAACACGTAAAAAGTACGAGGTCTATGAATCTGGATTGAAAAAAGACTGGCTAAGGGTCTACGTTTAATTTTCCTGTGCAAATACTATTTAAACTCCGATGAGAAAAGCCCTCTTGCTAAGCTACAGAAAAATCTTTCTTGTCCTTTAATTCTAGATGAAGGGGATTAGTGTGAACATATTTAACCTCTGACCTTCAAACAAAAGCATTATCAAATTTAGTTGCCAAGTGGTTCCCCATTTAACTGAACTAGTTTAGTATCTCAGTAAACTTTTTGTTGTTGTTGTTGGGGGTTTTTTTGGTGATTTTTTTTTTTATTTTTATTTTTTTTGCAAAGCCAAGCTTGAAAATCTATTGTTGCCCTAGAAACATTCAGAGATTTAGCAGCGCTCTCCTCTTTTTAGGTGGGAGATGGCTGTCAGAGCACAGATAAGGGACCCCACTTCTGTACAGTTGGCATTAGGACCTGCCTAAGCTTTCAAAAAGCAAACACAACTGCCCCAAACAAACAAAGCTTCTGGTGGTCTGCAAAGCGGAGGCTAGCTTTTCCCCCTCTCCATTTTCCTACACTTTTTTTCCTGCGAGCGATGTATCCGCCTGGCTTGGTGTTTTAAACCATTTGTCATAATTCTGCAAGCACGCAGCCTAGCTAAGGCAGCAATTGCCTGGCTCTTGATATATATATTTTTTTTCTTTGCTTGCTGTAATATCACTGCCTTTACCTCCCCAGCCAAAAATGTGCCTGTGATATCTTGATCTCCGCTCTCCGCGGCACTGAAATATTAGCCAGAGCTGGAACGCGCGTCGTATTTGGCTGGCGTTCTCCGCAGCCCGTGCATCGTTGCACCACCAGCATCCCAATATCCAAGCCCTCAATGACTTTATTAGCTCTTTTTTTTTTTTCAACAATGTCCATCAACTGTTTAGGTAACTACAGCTTTACGTTTCCGCCGCGACCTGCAGCGGTCACTAGGTGGTAGGCACTCTTAGGTGCCAGTGACTCAATAGAGCCAAGTGAGCCCTTTCTAAATTAGCCCTGAAATGTGTAAAACTAGATGGTCAGGGGTCTCTCAGTCCACAGTAAAATATTCCAGCTTGATCCT